AACCAAATGTTAAGGTGATAAGATTAAACAGAATCCATAGCAGTTATTTCATGTACCCTTTTGGTCAGCAGATGGTTCTTGACGACCTGCTGCTTCTCCCACGCTATCTCCGGAGGTAATGTTAATATTTACATATGATTAAGATCGGAAAGAACTATCTATATGATAATTAAGCTCTTTGTAGAGAAAGGAGCATAGTTTAATACACAATTTGGAGTGGAAGCTGGGTCGAGGCAGACTATAATTTCTTACAATACCATTATAGAAGAAGAGCAGAAGAGAAAGAATACTACTTCCACAGTTTTGAAAACACATTTATTTTCAATGTTCTATAGCATTTATTTTGCATAGTGCATTTTTTGTAAATATTTAACCAGGCTTTTCATTATTTGATGTGACCATCTATACCGTGGCGTAACCAATGTTGTGTCCAACAGGATTCGAAGAACAACTAGTCAGGAGCCACAGGTTTAAAATCAAGAGTATTTACTAGAGATCAATTACACAGGGTGGTAAAGCTCAATGAAGAGAAGAACACCTCCATTTTCTTCAGTCATCTTATATACTTTTCAATAAGAGTGTGTGCCTACATATTCTATATGTTATGTGTGTGACCATTACCATACATGTACTTTCCCAGTCACTATCTATGAAAAAGCTTGAACATTACTAAATACTGTACGTGCATTTTACAGTTTACAAATACAGAGTAAAATCGTATACCACATCAACAATACAGTTATTTCCATGATTGCATTAATTTTAAAATAAATTTTATTTGAAAAAAAAAATGGCATAAAACATCATTTTTAAAGCCATTATGAAACATAAATGTGAGATCATGGCTTACAGAAATATATACCATAAAACAAAAGCTAGAAATGTTTTCTTAACATCTTTCTGTAATACTGATATGTTGTTAAAACCTCAAGCACAGTAAAGAAATATAGAATATAGTAATTAGTAAAAATAACAGTTGAATGATCCAATTCATTTTGATTCACTGACATTGAATCAAACATTGATTTTAAAAATTTCTTTTGTAAAAAAAAAAAAAAAAAAATGCCCATTAAAAACTCAAACTAAAAACGCACTGTATTTACTCCAGTAGAAACCTACCCTTTGCAAGCGCTGGAGTTATATTTGAAGCCTCGAATCTTTTGTGGAGTGTTGCCATTTGAGACCTCGGAGGAGACGTGATATGAAGAATCTGAAGCCTCTTTATCAAAACAGCTCCATCTGGCCTTCCCGCTCTTCTTGCAGCAGAAGTAGTGACTGGTCTTAATAGAGAATTCCTGAGTACAGTAGGCAGACAGACTCTTCTTCCACTGAATGATTGGAAAGACAAATCAGAAATCAGAAATAAATATACAAAAGGAAAAACAATGAGGTACATCTACAATGAAAAAGAGAGGCCGCAACAGTCATGAGAGAATTATACACGCACAAACAGTCAAAGCCGTTTACTTTGACAACGGTCCATTTCAGACTGCCAATGTTTTGGATGCTTTGGCACCAAAGACTAAATATTGAAATGAAAACAAAGAGAGATTTTGTCTAAAGACCTTGATTGTACATGAGTGCAGATCTGTCCCTGGTGCACAACAATGTCCATATAAAGACAAAGTAAATAACAGAACTGAGCAACATCAAAAAATTTAAGTCAATGTAAATACAGTAAATTACAAAGGCAAAGCAGGGGAAAATAAGTATTTAACGGTCTTTCAAATATTATTTAGTAAGAAATGTACTTTCTGGTGAAATGCTAGTCCTCCTAGATCTGTGGCCTCTGCTTTAGTAATGTAAGGAATCTGAAAGCAGTTAAGAACTGGATTTAAACCAGATGTGAGTGTAAACAAACACGGTGACTCTGTAGCGCTAAAACTGTTTGAGAAAGGCTACGCAGCCTCAAATAATGGTAGAGGTTTGGCGCTGGATTAACAAATGACAGGCGTGTTTGGGAAACCTGTTTGGAAACAGGCAATAGAGTGCTGCAGGGATGACATGTTAGCACTAGAAACAAGTTAGCATTTCAGACCTTCTGGTTCCATCATCCTGAAGTCAATAGGTTGAAAAACACAAGTTTTTGGTTATGGCAAGCTGAACAAATTTTCATGCTTTATTCTACAACATAACATGCATCAGTAATACCCCCTTTAGATTTTTTTTTGTTTTTTTACAGCGTTTACTTGTATTAAAATAGGTGGTTGCTAACAAATGGCCAAATGGGACTACAGAGGCTGTTGTGGACATTAAAAATCATTATACAAATTAATTAACAGAGTTTACCTTACACCTTTACGTTTAAAAAAGATTTACAGAAACTCCTCTGATCTTTGTTTTAATTGCAAAAAACGCAAAGGAACATTCCTTCACTGCTTCTGGTATTGTGACAAAATCTTTTCTTTTTGGACTAAAGTACATAATTTTTTACAAAGTCTTTTTAAGTTGAAATTTTGTTTTTCTCTGGAACTGTATTTGTTATACAGTGGAGTGGAGACTGTGTTTGACTTCCACACCAAACAACTGTTTCTAATTTTGGTTTATCTGGCAAAGAAATGTATATTGTTACTGTGGTCATCTCCTCAAGTACCCTCTTTTAAAATGTGGTTGTCTCAAATATCTACGTTACTTCCACTTGAGAAACTCACCTTTGATATACATCAAAAGTCTAATGATTTTTGGCAGATATGGACACCTCTCTGGTGCTACATTAACAACCTCTCTTGATCTTCTATTCTATGGTGCATATTTAGCCTCTAGCCTGACTGTATTAACTTTTCTACCTGATTGTATGCTTCTTATTTTATAGCTGAGACTGCATCTGTATGTTTATGTGCATTAGAATAACCGACTAATAAAAAAAATAAATAAAAAAAATTATACAAAATGTTAAACCCATCTACTCACTAGTCTGCTTTTATAACCTCATTATGTTTATCATCACACTCTTGCAAACTATTCTAACTCTATATTTTTTAAATAAAGACTGAAAGAGAGAAGCCTAAAGTCATGCGACTGTGTTGTAGTTTGTTTATAGCCTACATTTAGCTTTCTACATCTGGTGAAAATTCATAAAAGGTGTGTTCATTTGTGAAGATCATCATGATGAACAAAACGTGTAAGAATTATATACTTTTGTTAGTGACAGAACTTATTTTCCGCAATAATCCAAAAGCCAATGAAAAAAAAATCCAATTGGGTTTTTGTTGAGAGAACAAGGGTGATGTTAATTTCCAGGTTGCCCTACAAAAATATGTCATCACTCCAATTAATTTGTTGCTGCATTTAGTCTGGTGGCATGGAATTCATACACTAAAACTTTAAAGTAGTAGTTCTCAATTTATAATCACAACAGAAGTACATATGAGCTTGGACAGAAGGTCCTGTAAATATAGTCTTGTGAAAGCTACACGTATTATTAGAAGGTGTAATAATGTCAAGACTCTCACCGCTTGTTCAGCACAACAGATTTGCTCTTCCGGTGTTCCATCAATGCCACAGCAGACACCGTACCAGGACTGGAGTTGATTGATAGCATCAGCCTGACGATGCTCATGGCCAAAGCCATCCTGAGGAAACATGTCCTTAGGGTACCGGAGCGGAGCTTTACTGAACTGACAGATATCTTGCAGGTTGCCTGTATTTGGAAAGGCTGGGGGGAAATCAACCTCTGGACCCATCCTGGGTCCCATGGAGCGAGGGCCAAACACTGGGCGACCTGATGAGGCAGATGAGAGATTTTTAAAATGTAAACACCAATTATACCAGAAATTTTGACCGGTTAAAAATCTGTAAAATGCTGCAATTAATTCAACCAGTGCTATATTAATTGAGTCCAGGGCTTCTTAAACACTATAGAAGAGCTTTTTATATAAACGTATAAAATGTTCATCTAAAGACCACTCCAAGTTCTTGCTCAGAAGTCGAGACACACTGGCAAACTGAATCTCAGCTCCCAAACCAAAACACATTATAGCATGCAACTGTACCTATTGGGACATTCTCAGCGTGAAAGTTTGTGACTTCTCTCTGGGTCATGTCTGAAGAGCCTGCAGCTAAACACACACAAAGAAACCAAGGAAAGGATGTAAAACACCACTTAAATTCATTGACTTTTCATTGAGAAACAGCAAGCGATCACTCACCCAACACTTTGGAAAGGTCAGGGATGATTGGTCTCTGCATCATCAAAAAGTCCAGCTCTGAAATAAGACAAAGAAAGTGTAAACTCTTGCTTTACAGATGAAAATAAGTTTTGCCTCTTAAGTCAACATTAATTTTAACGAATCAAAACACATATCCATTACAAATATAAACCAATTGATCAATCAACAGTCACTGATCATGATAAGGCCATGCTTACCCTCAGGGGTAAGTGGCAACTCTCGCTGAAGGCCATCTGCGAACGAAAGAAAACAACAATCAGGTCAGGCTCCTGACAAGCACGGCTTTGCATTAGTCATCAGTGATAACATTACGTGCGAAACTAGTTGGCAAAAAAGGTCCACTGTCTACTACTGACAGTAGTATAGTGATGTATGAAGCACAGCTAACACTTCTAGAAGTCATCATCCACTCACTTGACCAAATTAAACTTTTTGCTAAATCTGTGTGGGGAATTTTTACGCGAAATTTTAGATCGCATGCCTGCGAAAACACGCAGAACAACATCAATGAGCCACACCAGCTTTCAATCTGCGTGTTGCGTTGGTGACATGCAAAGTTATGCTTTTTTTGAACAACAATGTAATTGTCCATTTTTTATCTGAATGGTATGTTGCTGTATAATAACTGCCTTTAATTAATTACGTATAGTAACTGCCCACTTACTATATTGTTTTTAACCGTGAAACTAAATATTTGTGGATCCCTACTGAAAAAAAAACAAACAATAGAAACCATCATAGAAATTCTACTAGTTTCCAATACAAATACCATTACAAACCATCAACAATTAACCACTAAAAAATTGTTTCCTGTGGTGTGTTTTGAGACATATTCCATTAGGATTTAGTGGTTTTAACAAGTCTCCAATAAAAGGCAACAAATTACCAGTAGAGACCCACAGGGACATTACAGTTTCCATTAAAACCAATACAATTCCTGTGATGGTTTCTATAGTTCTTTCAGCAGGGATGAATCGCTGACGTGCTGACATTTATAATAACATGCTGGTGTGCTATTATTTAGTTATAGATTATATATTAAAAATATGGCGGCGTGATTATGGTATAAAGCTGAAAATATAATTCAAACAGACCTTCATCAGCCAGCGTGTCAGTAATTTCCCTTTGGACAGGAGAGTCTGGAAAAGTAGGACACATTGGCATTAGTCAGAGGGAAGAAAAAAAAACTTGGATAACATCCAGAACATCTGCAAGCATGTTTTATGTAACTCTGGTATCCATGGAAAAAAAATCTATTCACAAACAAACACTGCCTTTCGAAACATGACATAAATAAACAACAAAACATTTCTACACTGTCGTAAAAGCAAAAGTAGCCTACTCTATGTCTGAGCTATGTTCTGTGCAAACGACATGAAAACATTAGCGTGACGCAGGCCTAAAAAGTTGCATTTACCTTCCGATGCATCGCACAGAAGAGCGAGTAAAAGCGTCAAATAAAGTCCCACGCCGCGTGAGGAGCTCATGGTCGGTGATGTGCCCTCAGACAAACACTTCTCAGTGGAAGTTAATGTGTATCAGACGCGGAGCCGCTGACCGTGTGTTCACCGTTCCGCTCTTCAGCTTTTAAAGGCAAACCCTCCAGGACGCGTCAAGTTCAGAAGGAGATCATGTGGTGGTGGAGGAGGAGGAGGAGGAGGAGGAGGAGGAGGAGGACCATCTTCAGCTTCCGCAAACTTGCTGACACACTTTAACTCCTTCACAGAAGTTCGCTTCTTTTTCTTTTTTCTTTTTGCCTACCAGTAGCCTACGTGCCCCGTCCTATCCTGTACCAGCCTAACCCCGAAAATAATGTCATGGGTGAGGACGGAAAGGAGGGCAGTGTTTACCGTCAAAAAATACTCATTTCCATGTCACTTCCTTTCCCAATTTTGATCTACACGAGTTGCTTATCTAGAAAAAATTGTCAATCGCGAATGACGCTTGTGATTTTTGTGACCTGCTTGGTCGTGAATTGAACTAGCATATAGAACATTTTTCCAAAACCCTTGTCAATGGATAACTAACAATATCTGATTTTTCCGCAGTATTTTTGTTCATGCATGTGCAATTGCCTTTAATTAGCCTACATTTAATTATTTCTTATTTCATTAATTAAATTTAGTAAGGTACTGTGTTAGTTGTCACTTTCATTCCAGTAAATATCAGGGAAAGGAATTCATAGGCAAGAGTCTTTTCTAAAAAAAACAACAAAACTCTATTATTTCCACCAGAAAAAAAGTAGTTTATTAAACACACATTTATGTCCCGTGACAACATGCCCCATTAGTGAGACATTTTGTTTCCACTAAACTATTAGTATTTTCAACAAAATTTTGCAGTGGAACAATTCTGAAACACGAGAACAATTTAATAAAACAGTAGACATTAGTAAGTGAAACAAGTTTAAATTTCTATCATCTACAATGTAGGCTATGTGGCACCCTAAGCTGACAATTATGCAAAATGTCAAACTTTATGAAAAAATTATGAAACTTTCATATCTTTTCATTAAAATCTACCTTCGTTATATAGGCTACTTAATTAGATTTTTTTTATATAACAGCTGTAACACAACTATTATTTAAAATACTAGAACTGGAAAGTTGAAATTTAGGGTTAATTAAAAAAAAAAATTATTTGTTGAAGCTGACATTCAAAACTAGAGAAAACATCTTTGTAACTGGACCTTTGACTCATAACCTAGTTACTGGATGCCCTTGTGAATGTGACAAATAACAACTAGCCCTGCTCTTCCTATTGGTCATCAGCCACCCCACACTAGTTATTGTATCAGCGTCAGTCGGTGAAAAAAACCCACCCGTTGACTACTAGTTTAGAGACACAACCCGTTTCGCATAAGACACCAGCAGGGTTGGGTTGTCACGTCTTGAATGCATTCAGGGTGGTGTGATGATGTGATGGTTCCTGGAATCCCTGTCTAACAAGTCTAAACATTGTGTAATAATTCGCTTTAAACCAATGTCAAGTAGAAATTCAAAATGACCATTTGTTCTTCTGCCAAAGATTCTGCCTAACACCGCACTTCTAAGCCTTACAGTGGACTCAATGTGGATATGTATATATAGATATGTCTAACCTGTTTGACACCATCTGATATTCATGTTCACATTATTCAAATGTTCATGCTTAATGGCAACATCCAATATACTAGCATGTATGAACATTGCTGTATGTGTTGATTGCACTTGGAGTTGTGTTTAAACTATATTTATATATTCATGTGGATATTTTATCACTGTACTATTGCGGTATTAGGCTACTCACACAAACACATGCCATTTACACTTAGCATTGCTTATCCATATGAACTCATTTACTTGCACATTCAGTGTAAAACAATGACAGAGCAATGATGCTTTTTGCAAATATTACCATTTGTTATCTATTATTTTTGTTTCAATCTCGATATTCTATTTCAAAATACTCTTTGAAGAGATTTGCCAACATCATAAACAGAATGATTAGAGCTAAAAATCCTTTATCAAGACAAGGGCATCCAAACCTTTAAAAGACAAAATCTAACCCTAAACCCACTGTGTCATATTTGATATGCAAATTTCCAAAGCCTCTAAATGATTAAAACTTTTAAACCTTGTGCACAATTTACTACATGCCTTCTGTTGTCTCAGTTGATACTTTTCTAGCAAGTAAAAGACATCTTAAGGTCATAGGACATATGCTTTTTTACTGTTAAATCTTTAATGATCTTTTAAAGTAAATGTAAAACTTTTGTTAAAAAATAATCAAATGAACACCTACTGGACTGAAGCAAGGGTTACTTGATTATTTATGTTTTTATTATTATCTTTACAAAAATCATGTTAAAGTGTGTATCAAATATGCTGGCATACACAGGCTTTTGTGGAACATTTATTTGTATATCACTCAGTCATTATTGTATTGCATTGCATTATATGTTTTGCCCCACGATAAAGACTACAGAGCTTTGATCATAGAACTAAGCATTTAAATGTTATCCTACTTTTGTCTTATAATACATATTTTTGAGAACTATAGATTGACAACTGACAACTCATTTTAAGTAGTAGTTTAGTATGAAGAGCTCATTGATTTACAATACAATCTATCAGAATATCACCTTTTTGGTCCTCAAAAACATCAGCAACTGCATTGAGGTGTTTTTTTTCCTCCTCGAGTGTGAGCTTCATATTCTCATCAAGCTATGAGCCATAAAAGCCTGGTGTATATCAAATATTATTCTCAACAAAAATCATGTATGCAACTGTGTATTTTTTCCCCTAAAGAATTAATGTACTGTTCCATTAAAAAAAGAGATATATCCGTTTTTACAGGGTTAAAGATTGTCAAATTAATACTATAATTGAGTCAGTCAATGGTCATTGAATTGTTTGTATCATATCCATATTCTTGATTTTTTTCCCCTTCACTGAATACTCTGTAACTCTCACTGCAGTAATTATTTGTTAGTTATACATTTTCCTTGAGTAATTCTTTTTAAATATGTATGTTAGGCTACTAAAAGTATACTACAAATACATTTACATATTTATGTACTTAAGAAAAATACCCTGCAACTGTACTTTTGGTATACTAAACTGGTATACTTCAAGTCTGCTAAATTGGAACAACTAATTTTGTGCTTGTCCTGAGCTCCAACTAAAGATATACTGCAGTATATTTGATTGTGCTAAAGTGGAACTACTTCAGGTACACTTTAAATATCTTGCATTTAAAGGCCGATATTATTCAAAGATCATACAATCCTCATCAATAGTGACATTAAAACATATTTTAGGCTTAATATTAAAAAATGTGCATTGTGCACAAGTAGTACTCCAAATAAAGTTTAATTATAATTTTTATATCAGCAAGTTTCGAGCAATATGTCAGTACATATGTTAATAGATTTGAGCTATACTTAGTATGAAATAAATGTATTTTAAATATATTACTTTTTTTTTACTATGGATGGTATTGAAAAAAAAATCTCTTGGTTTCGGTGTGATGGCTCACTGATTTTGGCTCCAGGTACAGCTGGCAGGGATATCTCAGATGTGGAAATGAGCAATAGAAACACTCAAATCTCAGAAACTACAGAGCTGGCCCAGATTCAGTCTTTCATTAACTAACGCAACATTGCTGGTGCTAACGGCCTTGGATTGCCCGACAGTGCTGGTATTTCTTTTGTTGGTGAATCAGACACTGCTTTGTTTCCCTTGGACACACAGTATCAACATAAACAAAGTCATGTGGCATAGGCTATATGCTGCACTGAGAGCCTGGGAACTAAATCCACTGTTTTCATCCACTCTGACACTTCTTAGATATAATACTGTCATGAGACCTAAATTAAATTAATAGAGCAAAGTATGAATCGAAACTCTCTGTCAGCAAAATGAGTCAGTGAAAAGAGAAGTAAAAAAAAAACTCAAACTATATAGGGAAATGCACAGTATTATTATTAAACTAAAGAGATAAAATTCATTTACAATTTAAAAACACAAGTAAATTGTAAAAGCCTAAAGAAAATAGTTTACAAATATTAGAAAAATTATCATAATTACACAATTGATTCCATTCACAGTGCAATTCACCAGTGACTCAGGACTGAATACAATGGTTCTACAGCAAATTCATAATTTATTCTGACCTTAATCTGTCTGCAATGAAGTGATGAATTCAAGGATACACAAAAGGTTCTAGACAAAACCAGTTGATGTTAACAGTTGATGAGGATCACTTGTGTCTAGACAAGCATCAGGATTGTGGAAGAAATGAAGTACTGTACCAAAAGTCATATAATGCTAGTTATTATTCAGCTTTTAGACAATTATTTAAAGGGGTCATATGATGTTGCTAAAAAGAACATTATTTTGTGTATTTGGTGTAATGAAATGTGTTTATGCGGTTTAAGGTTAAAAAAATTATTTTCCACATACTGTACATTATTGTTTCTCCTCTATGCCCCGCCTTTCTGAAACGTGTCGATACTGAATGCTAGAGGAGCATGACTCCCCAGCAGTTTCTCAATTTTTTTTAAATCAAGTTTTCTTCCTCATTCTAACATTTTAGGGAGCTTTCCCCTTAATACAAGGAAAACAGAAGGAAAGGACATCTGATGCCGTCATTTCAAGAATGCCTGATTGTTTTTTTTCTCCCTGAACACAAACTATGTGGGCTACTTATTGACAAAGAGGAATGATGCTTTGATATTTAGCCTACAAATATCAACATTTGCTATCTGTCATTTGCATTAATCTCAGTTATATTACGGGGCTGTTGAATGCTTGAATCTGATTCGTTGACGAACGTTTTAGGATGTGCAGTTATTTTGAGAAAAATGCACAGATAAAAAAGTTCCAGGCAGGTCTTGACCGTATTACAGTTCAATATCACTTTGCCAAACCATTTCTGTTATTTCTTTCAAAAGTCCTACAACAAAAGATCCAAAATCCACAATGACACTGACCAAGCAAATATATTTAACAACAGGATAAAAATTACAAAGTATTTGCATGTTTTGTCCCCAAAATTAGGCCTACATACTCGTACTCTCAATCTCTCTGCGGAATGTCGCTGTTCTTGAAGCAGTTAAACTTGCGGTTTCACTAGAGATGCTGCTGAGAGACACACAGATTCAAGTAATTCACGCTTAACCAATCTCTCTCTCTCTCTCTCTCTCTCTCTCTCATATCATTGTCTCAAGCCTCCGTTACTAGCTCTAAAATGAGGTGTTGGAATTATCAAAGTCCCTTTAAGGCAAGTCATGTCACTCGGCGGCCATCTTTGAAACACCTCTCAGGTATGCAAGTGGAGCTCCTATCTCTTTGAAT